TCTCTTTTAGTTTTTTAAAAAATCGACTGTATAAATTAAAATGGCCCACCCTGTATAATATATAATATATAATACCAATTGTACAGAGCTTTATCTAAATAATTTTCTTGAATAGAAAGGAATTGTTCTTAGATAATTGTCTTGAATGAAAAGGAATGATTCTTAGATAATTTTCGCGAACCATATAAAACGGCTTCACGTTCAAGCAACTTTTTCTTTCTCCCTCTAACGCAATATAATTTCGTTTCCATTGAACCTAAAGATATTGTCCAAACGAGAATGTTCTTTTTTTTCCCCGTGCGCGTCTGTAAATGGTAATAACGAGCCAATCTCTTGAGGACTGTATCGGGCGTACGCGAGTGACGATAATTATCGCTCGGTTATCGCTCTCGCTGCCGGATTTGTGATAAACGCCGCTCGATATCTGCGACGGAACTGCGCGTATCCCGCTCGTCTCCGCGTGCGAGGAAAACTTTTCCGAGGGTGTGATTCATCCTCGCTCGATATGAATCATCTCCGCACGGAGCTGCGAAGGTAGTGGAGAAGATAAAAACCCAACGGAAGAGAGGAATTCAGCAACAGGGGAGAAAATTCAACAGGGACGCGCAGCTTCTACGGAAGAAGGGGGGATAATTACATTCTTAGGAAAAGCATTTGTCATACATAATTATATATAAATGATGTTCACAGACGTTTTCTTTTTCTCGTTTAGTCTCTGTTTGTATGTACAAGATAAATAAGATAGCACAAAGAGAAAGGGAGTTCATAAAGAATTCATTTCAAAGAAAAAAAACCTGCAGAATTAGAAAACTGAATATCTGAGGAATTCTTGAAGAATCAGCCATAATTGGTTCGTCTTGAAGTATTCGTCACAAGTTCATTGCACCCAGAAAAAAACTCTCTTTGAAATCGAACAAATTCTCTTTGAATTACGATCTTACTAGACTCTTGGTTAATTTCAAAGAAATGATTTCTTTACCTTAACCGAAATGTTACTTGATTAAGGCCGGAATCTCTACGAGGATTCACATCTGTTCCTTCAAATCTAGCAAATGTTTTAGTAGAAGTAGATAAAAATGTAGTAGATCCAAAGATACACGATTTCAACGTATCTCATTTGTTTAACCCACACAAATCTTTTTCCGGGCGTGTGGTACATGTAACTTCTCCGATCATTCTTATTGCACTCTTCTATGAATTCCTAAAGAATTGCAATTCAAAAAGGCGGAAAACTTGAAGAACACTTTGCGGAAGAATTTACCGCGCTATCTGGGAATAAGAACGATCAAAAACTAATTGGAAAAGTTGACCCATAAGAACGCGCGGTCTATTCTTTTAAGTCTGTGGTTAAAACAGGAACATTATAAATAGAGGAAAATCCCCTATTATAAGATAAGCTCCTAATACGAGACAGCGGAGTTTCTGCTAAATTAATAGATATTATTGTCTGCCGATTCCATCATGAATCTATCGCCCTTGGGGCGGAATCTGCTTAGTGGAAAATTCTTTGTTAAATCGTGCAATCGTTGCGAAAAAAAGATTTGCGATTGAAAATCTGCTATCTCATAATACGTGATCTTCCCCAATGCTTTTCTTTTCGCCGACTGGTAAACCCAGATAGCACAAAGATGAACATAAGTTCATAGAGAATTTATTTTAAAGAAAACATACAGAATTAGAAAAATGAATATCTGAAGAATTCTTGAAGAATTAGTCTCAATCAGTTCGTCTTGAAGTATTCTTCTGAAGTTCATTATAATGAATACTTCGCGATTCAGTGAATACTTAAAGAATTTATGAGGAATTATTTGTCATGCGCGAGTATCCGCTAACCGCCATCCGGACGTTCTTGTGCAGCGTGTTACCACGTGCAATATTTTGTGTGCGTAACGTTATGTGCAATTAATTTTGCGCAATAGTTCTATTGTGTAAAAGAAAGAATCGAACGACGAGAACCGAAACGGAAGAATCATCCGATTGTCAACGAGCTTCGGTTGAGAGTATCTCACTGTTGAGTGAGAAATTATAATAATGATGTAATGTTACTGCATATTAGATGTGCACGTACATTGGATAAATATTTTGTAATCCTCTTTGTTCTAACACTAGCCCA